ATCCTACTTTTAAAATCACTTGCTATGACAACTAATAAAAAGTTTAGTATCACGAAATTCTTGCTAAACTTTTAAAAAACATTATTGAAAGAAAAATTGGACTTTCATATCATAATAAAATAAATTATTACATGATTATGGTCTCCGGTCTGAAAAAACCTGCATGTGATTTGGCATTTCTTTATATTTACACAGTTTACTAATGCTGTTCAAATGTGCCATTATGTACTGACACAAAAATATATAGTGTAATTTATACAAATATAACTGATGTAAATGCCAAAAACAAAGTTTAAGGCTGATGTCTCTGTTCATTTTCACAGAAGCAAAGCAGCAGATGTTATAAATAAACAGTTAACAATGTTACTGAATATAATAGGTTATATTAAAACCGTTATTGCACGACATAGGCCTATTCTTACAGGCTACACAGACAAAACAGTGGGAGATGTGTTTATGGATTTTTTTTCGATTTTATGCATTAGTAGTAAATGAAGACTTCGCAAGTTCTCTTGTAAAATAAAATAGTAAAAAAAAATAGGCCTATTCTTACAGGCTACACAGACAAAACAGTGGGAGATGTGTTTATGGATTTTTTTCTATTTTATGCATTAGTAGTAAATGAAGACTTCGCAAGTTCTCTTGTAAAATAAAATAGTAAAAAAACAAACATGTAATAAACTGTGTTCAGAAAGCGAGTAAAGAACTCTCAACATTAGGCTACTAAAAAGGTCAGTTTAATCTTCGCAAAAACTCCCATTAATAAATCTGACTACACTGCACAATTAATCTCTTAATCTCTTAAACTCTGCATCTTTGTTGTTTATGATGAATTCGGTGCCTGCACATACTTTTATTATTATTGCAGCTGAGATGTTCAAATAGCTGCAGTACTCCGACTTTGCCACAAGGAAAAGTGTGTACGCCTGTTCAGACCCTGATGTGGCGGTAAGTACTTTTCCACGTCAAAGACGTTTTTATAAATATGAACGTTGCCGTGGATTTTAGCGTACATGCGCTCTAAGATCAAATCTGTGCGTACACTCATTTTATAAATGAGGCCCCATGTTTCTTGATGATATTTCCCAAAGGTAACATGAAAACTGTGAAAAGCAGCGGTCCAAGTACTGAGCCTTGTGGTACTCCATGCTGTACTTGCAATCAATATGATACCTCTTCATTCACTGCTACAAATTGATGATGGTCAGATAAGTAAGATTTGAACCACGCAAATGCATTTCCACCAATGCCAACATAATTTTGTAGTCTACTCAAAAGAATGTTGTGGTCGATAGTGTCAAACACAGCGCTAAGATCCAGTAGCACTAACAGAGAATCGAATGATAAGAGCAGGGCATTTGTAACTCTGATGAGAGCAGTCTCGGTACTATGATACGTTCTAAATCCTGACTGGAATTCCTCACAGATAACATTTATCTCTAAGAAGGAACATAGCTGAGAGGATACTGCCGTTTCTAGTATTTTTGACAGAAAAGGGAGATTTGAGATTGGTCTGTAATTAACTAATTCTCTAGGATCGAAATGTGTTTTTTTTAAATGAGAGGCTTAATAACAGCCAATTTGAAGGTTTTGTGAACATATCCTAATGACATTGACAAATTAATAATATTCAGAAGAGGATCTATAACTTCTGGAAGCACCTCTTTTAGTAGCTTAGATAGAATAGGGTCTAACATATATGTTATAGGTTTTGATGATTTGACATGTTTATACAATTCTTCCTTTCCTATTGCAGAGAATGAATGGAATTGTTCCTCAGGGGATCTATAGTGGATAATCTACAGCTGATGGCTGCATTGCCAGAATTTTCTCTGTAATAGTATTGATCCTGGAAGTAAAGAAGTTCATAAAGCCATTACTGCTGTGCTATTGGGAAATGTCTGCGTCTGTTGATGCTTTATTTTTTGTTAATATTTTCACTGTATTGAATAAATGCCTGGGGTTGTGTTTGTTTTCTTATAAAAGAGACGAAAAGTAAGCAGATTTAACAGTTTTTAGAGCTTTTCTATAAGTAGAAGTACTTTCCTTTCCCTGCAATATGAAATACCTATTTTTGTTATCGTCCAGCTGCGCTCCATTTACCAGACTGCTCTCTTTAAGGTGTGAGTTTGCTTGTTATACCATGGTGTCTGACTCTTTTCCTTAATCTTTTGTATCTAAAGTGTTAGAAAAGAGAGAGCCCATAGTTTCTGTTACAACATCAAGTTTTTTCTGAGCTATAGGATTTGCTGAGGAATTGAGACACGTCAGGGAGATTATTTACAAAGCAGTCTTTTGTGATGGTTCTACCATATTTGTAACAAGGAGTTGAAATTGCAGCTTTAGCTATATGGAGTATACACAAGACTAGATGATATCCAAGATATCATCACTCTGCTGCAGAATTTCAATGCCATTAAAATCAATTCCATGTGACAGTATTAAATCTAAAGTGTGATTACAACGATGAGTAGGCCCTGACACATGTTGACTGACCCCAATGGAGTTCAGAATGTCTATAAACACTGATCCTAATGCATCTTTTTCATTATCAATATGGATATTAAAATCACCAACAATTAAGACTTTATCTGCAGCCAGCAGAGAAGATAGAAAATCCTCAAATTCTTTGATAAAGTCTGTATGGTTCCCTGGTGGCCTGTATACAGTAGCCAGTACAAACGACACATTAACACTTGTATACCATATACCAGGGATGCCCAAACTCGGTCCTGGAGGGGCCGGTGTCCTGCAGAGTTTAGCTCCAACTTGCCTCAACACACCTGCTACAAAGTTTCTAGTATATCTAGTAAGAGCTTGATTAGTTGGTTCAGGTGTGTTTAATTGGGGTTGGAGCTAAACTCTGCAGGACACCGGCCCTCCAGGACCGAGCTTGGGCACACCTGCCATATACCATTACCATAATTTCAAACAAATTATACTTGAAACCAGACCTCTGAGAAATACTGAAAATATTACTATAAATTGTAGCAACACCTCCCCCTTCACCTTTTGGATGCAGCTCATGTTTATAACAGTAATCTTGAGGAGTAGACTCATTTTTGAGTTTACCGCTCCCCCTATTATTACAGGGTGTATAACAGGGTTTCAGGTTTATCACACCAAACTTTGTCTACTTGCCAAGACACTGAAAATGCTAAACTGTGAAAAGATTTGCCATGTTGAGGGATTAATAAGAAAATTAAGTGCATTGTTTGATTTATATTAAATTGAGATGCATTCACATCTTAGCGCCACCAGCTGTCAAGTGTGCAGGAAGTGTGCACGTTCAAGTGACTGACATAGTGTTACGGGGCTGACAAGACTTGAGACATGCGGATCCATGTGCAAGCTATTTATTAGCAGAAGACGGAGACGTGGTCATAGAATAGGCATGGGTCAGATAATGGCAGACCGGTATATGGCGGGCAAGACACAAGAAGAAACCTAAGGCTAGCGGAGGTCAACGATCGGCAAACAGAATCAAAGGGGCGAGACTCAAGGGATAAGTCCAGGTACAAGGCAAGGTCCAGGCAGGGGCAACCAGTATCAAAATAGGGCAAGACAAGAGGAGGAATCCGAGAGACACAGGCGAAGATCAAGATACGCTCCGTAGTGTAGCTATCACTAGGGGAGTGATATACGGTAAACAATACTCAGCAGTGGGAAGGGATCAGAGTGAGTGTTAAATAGGGGATGTGTGATTGATTACAGCTGTGTGCAATCAGTGCTGTGTGCAATCAACTTTGTGTATGTCATCAGTGCAGTGGATGATGGGATATGTAGTCCGGGGTGATATGCAACAGTGTGTAGTGCGAGAGTCAATGAAATGGAAAGGGTGACCTCTGATGGCTAGCAGACGGAAGTTCATGGACCGGATACGTGACACATAGGCTAATCCTCTTGTATTGTAATCCTCTTGTAATTTTGTATTTTTAGAGGAAATCATGGCAATAAACAATATTCACCTCTTAATTATTCACCCTTTATTTATATGTAAAATAATGCATATATTAGAAGGAAAAAAAAGTTTTATTCTGTTTTCATTTTATGCATTATGTGTAAGACATTACAAATCAAATCGTGGCACTAAACAATATTCACCTCTTAATTATGCACCCTTTATTTATATGTAAAATAATGCACATATTAGAAAAAAGTTGGTAACACTTTACTTGAAGGGGTGTGCATAACATATTCATGACATGTCATGTCATGATTATGTAGGTGTCATGTCATGATTATGAAGGTGTCATGTCAGTCTTATGCACACCCCTTCAAGTAAAGTGTAACCAAAAAGTTTTATTCTGTTTTCATTATATGCATTGTGTAAGACACATTTCATATATTAGAAAAAACATTTTATTCTGTTTTCATTTTCTGCATTATGAGTAAGACACATTTCAGTGCTATGTCACTGATAGCATAACCAGTAGCCAGTATAACATGCATTACCATGTTTTCATATGTAATTACTTACTTTTATTTAGGTATTATGTTTGGATGTATATAGAGAATATCAAAGAGTCTGGTAACTTACTGGTAAGCAGTCTCCAACTGAGACTTTGATCTCTCTCTCTCTCTTTGTCTGTCTTTTACACTGTTTGGTGGCTGAATTATTTATTTAATTTTTTTGAAATGCTATTTTTTTACAGTAACAGTAGTTAATATGCATGTCGTTAAAAGGCTGTATATTTTATTACATTCTTTTCTTTTTGTATTTCTCATTCCTTTCCTATGGAGGTCATTTTAGACCACTAAGAATAGAAGTATGACTATTTTTTAGGACCATTTATTCCTTTCCAGTCATATTTTTTTGTACGTTCATATTGCAAGTACGACCATTGGCACCAAGTTTCATACCATTCCAGTACAGTAAAATGTAAAAATTTTTGGTCGGCAGCATCTTTATATTGTTTTACTTCATCATACTGTCATACTATTTGACAATTTTAAATCCAATTTCAGTGAATAATAGCATTTTATTTTGTTTCCTTCAGCTGAACCTCTGGTGCAGGTGGATGGGAAACCCAGCTGTTGTTTCTTCAAGTTCAGTCCAAAACTGATGTTTACCAAGGTCCTGAAAGCGCAGCTGTGGGTTTATCTGCGGCCACTACAGCAAACTTCCACTGTTTACTTGCAGATCCTTCGCCTTAAACCTATCACTGAGCAAGGAAGCCGACACATCCGTATCCGGTCACTCAAAATAGAGCTCAGTTCGCAAGCGGGTCATTGGCAGAGCATTGATTTCAAGCATGTGTTGCAGAACTGGTTCAAGCAGCCACACACAAACTGGGGCATTGATATAAATGCCTATGATGAGAGTGGCAATGACCTGGCTGTGACGTCTCTGCGGCCTGGAGAGGAAGGACTGGTAAGGACCCTTAGACCTGTTAGACCAAAAATACTGCTATAGTGGAAACAATAATCATTGTACTAAACCAAAGGTTAAAATTTTTAGCTTTATGTCACTTCAGATGAATTTGAGACTGCTGTTATAGAGAGAGGGTGCTTGACCCATCTCTGTATGTCTTCTTCCTCCTGTAATTTCCAGCAGCCGTTCCTGGAGGTCAAGGTTCTTGAAACAACCAAGCGCTCACGGAGAAATCTGGGTCTTGACTGTGATGAGCACTCCACAGAATCCCGCTGTTGTCGCTACCCGCTCACAGTGGACTTTGAAGCTTTTGGCTGGGACTGGATCATTGCACCCAAACGTTACAAGGCAAACTACTGTTCAGGCCAGTGTGAGTACATGTTCATGCAGAAGTACCCACATACTCATCTGGTTCAGCATGCCAATCCTAGAGGCTCAGCAGGGCCATGCTGCACACCCACAAAGATGTCGCCGATAAACATGCTGTACTTCAATGATAAACAGCAGATAATCCATGGCAAAATCCCAGGAATGGTGGTGGACCGTTGTGGCTGTTCATAGAATTATGTGTTTTGGTTGAGCTAAGGGGAAGTGATGGAAGGAGGGTGTTAGGGATGCAAGTCCCTGCAAGTCTCTGCAATTTCCTTATATTTTCCTTACATTCCTTGGAAAGAATACTACATAATGTACATAGAACAAAAACACATTTGTTGTTTCTTTCATAAGTCCAGTAGAACACTCTTAGGTCCAGGATCCTAATAAATCCTAATTTCTCACATTATTTGAATCTGAATTTTAGTTCTACCAAATATTTGGCTTATAATATATATATATATATATATATATATATATATATACACACACACACACACACACAACACACCACACCACACAACAAGACTTGGTTTTTTAGGTTTATTTTTGATGCATTGCACTGGGTAGTTCAGAGATTCAGGTCCAAAATCTCGCTCTACATCAAATATATTCTCATTGTCTGTGATTTTGTTGCTTTTTGCAGTATTACACATTCAGAGAAAATAGAAAAAAAATAATTGATGCTGGAAACTTGTTGAATTATGGCTGGTTAGGGGACAGTTTCAGAATGAAAGATGTGTGTATATATATATATATATATATATATAGTATATAAAATGTAGTGCAAGATATAGTAGAACATAAGAAAAAACACTTGTGGAGTTGTTAGTGTTGATCTATCTTTTAGGAATGTATAATATTGTTATATATTTTTTAATTATTATTTGCATATATATGCATCTTTCAGTTATGAGAAAGATTTTGACATTGAGTCCAAAGTGTTTAAGCCAGCATACTAAGACTTATTCTAGGTTTCCTACATGCATTTTTATTGTGCTTCAATGCTAATGTTATGCATTAAAGAAATGACAGGAGACAAATGCACCCCGCACCCTCCACTAAAGCTGCTTCCACTATGGTGCGACATTCCAAATAGTCTAGGCACCCTTTCATGACTACTTTGAAACTCTTTTTACTCATGAAAATGACAAAGGAAAAGAAAGGAAGACATTTTTATTTCTACCACTTTTAAGGAGAAAAGGAACATAACCATTTATTTTAGACACATGAATTTATGATGTAGTTCTATTCATGTGTTTTAGCATCTGTGATCGACAAAATCATCATAATTTTTTTTTACAAAAATAAATTATTTATTGAAAAAGAAGTGAAAAGAGTGTATCTCACCCACACACAGTTAATTAATAGTCATTTGTGTAAAAATAATGTTTCCCATGAACTTTAATTTTACATGTTATTTTCAGAAATGTCTTCTCTGCTTACCTAAACTCTGCCTTAACAGTCTGTTATCAATAAATCAGTTGTAAGGTAAACCAAAATAAAACATGTTCATGGCTATATGCAGTTGTACTGAATACAGATAAGTGTTTAGCTGTACTGAATACAGTAACATATAGGTCACTATGTTGGCACACGTATTTACATGAATAAAAAAAACAGATGTCACTGTGGATCACAGCAGTACAATATCCTTTGTAGATAAAACACTTGTCTGCAATTTAGAGAAAAGTAATTTCATTTAACTTTAGTTGTATTTAATCAAATACCATTCCCTCTCCCTTACCAAACTTTAATGGTACAGTAAACTCTGGAAGTGCTGAAAAAGCAAAGGAAAGGAGAGGGGGAGTGGCGAAGTAGAATTGAAATCATTTTCTATTCTTCAAATATGTCCCTTTGTTGAAAACAAAAGCACTATGATGTTGGATAAAAGAGGAGCCTTCTTACACTAAAGTAATATATGTATATATCACAAAAGAGAAAAAGACAAAAAGGATGGCAGTGGGATGGTGCTGAAGGGTATAAAAGATTATTTTGGGCACTCTACTTACCAACAATAAATTTTGCACTATGGGAAGTAAATGGCAAGAGGAATTTTTATTTCCATTTCTATTTGACCTTTTCAAGCACAATAACTTGTAGATGGATTTTAATAACTAAATAATGTCTAAAGAGTCTAGAGAAGGTATAGTCCATCCACCATATCTGTCTTTATACCTTTGAAATATTTCTGCTGAAGCAGAAACCAGTTGTTGGCCCAATCTAAAACAAATCATATCTAAAATTTCAAAACTGATCGATGCCTGAAGTTTTAAATTGCTGTTTTGTAATACTATAAAATCCACAAAACTGAACTCTATAAAGCCTTGACTTTCAAATCAGATGTTATCTAGAATGTTAAGTTTTGGCAAGTATAGTTTGTGGCTTGAAAAAAGTTGCTATGCACCATGAGAATGCAGATTACAAAGGACTGGAACTTAGTATTTACTAGCAATGAACATAACTAGGCTCACAGCAGAAACATGGTTATATGGGCCACAATAATTTATCTCTATTGAAAACTAAATTGGTCACAAAATAAGTAAAACGCTACCTCATCAAAACAGTTTGAAACCTTGCTATGAAATTAAAATTGACAAATTTGATAAATCCTCTATATTTATGGTCAAAATACAAATGCATGTAATTGTTTTTTTTAGAACATTATTACTTGAATGATGTACAAGTCTTCTAAAATGCCACAGGGTCTCTATATTAAGGTCCTTTAAGGACACAAAGAATGGAAAGTATGATATGGAGATCATAAGCCATCACCCTAAGTTGTACAATTCAAAACTTCTGTATAATGTTCTCAATGTTTTTGTCATACAATATGTGGAGAAATAAGAATTGTGATTTGTAAATGTGAAAAAAATCCAAATGAAACCATTCTACATAGTGTTGACAGACTCTCTGCTTTGAAGATTTACCTACTCATTTTAGTCATGCTCAGCCACTCTTTATGTTGTGTAGAGAAATTATGAAGTAGTTTGGTTTTCATGCAAATAAGAAAACGTCATCATTTCTGTCTTTGTTTGATCATGTTTTGTACAATAAATACTTTATTTAGAATACAAAAGGACTGCCCCTTTCTTAATACACTGACTGTTTTGACTGACTGATTATGTCAATAAGAGTTGTTTCAGGTAGTTTTTTTTTTAGTTCAAGTGGGGCTTGCAATGGCTCGCTGTCCAGATTTTTTTTGTTTTGTTTTGTTTTTTTTTCCAGAAGAGATCATGAGGAACAGAGCTTGAAAAAAAAATGATACAGCCTGTGGATGAATTCTTTGTTAAAAACATACAGCATCTGCACAGCTTCAAAGTCCACCAAAACAAGGTTTATTCAGTGTGCATGGCAGTTAATGTACAATGCTTGTGGTACATCTTTTCTGAAATTTTCTGCTACACCATTGTGAGAGGCAGACATAACTGCTGCATCATCATAGCACTGCGCAATGCAAGTAGTCAGTATTGAATTTACGTAATGCCTGTTTGATAATTTTCAAGCACGATTTGGCATCTAATCAACTGGCTGGAGTAAAATGATGGAGTTCCCCTAATGCAAAGCCACTGTGCAAATAACGTATTACCACAGACACCTGCTCTTTTTTGCTGACATGCTTGCTTTCATCGACTATTAAGGCAAACAGTCCAATCTCATCAACAGCCCAATACTTATTTGCGCTCTCACCGTATTTGCCTATTTAATTCAATTAACTTGTTCAGTATATTGTGTTGTGTGTATTTTGCATTTTGGGGATTGTCAAGTATTTTTTTTCCACCAACAAATTTACCAATAAGATGCAAAAGCTCAATAAATTTGCCTTAGTCGGCAGAATTCTCCTTTTTTCTTTGACTTCTTTGTGCAATTGTCTGGCAGACGATTCAGCAACTGCTTGCATGTATTTCCAATTTTCTTGTACTACTTTTATTCACTCAAGGGCCATCCATTTCAGACATCTTTCATGCCCATCAGGCACTCTCTTTCTGTCTGCACACAAAACAAAATGTTCTAGTCAATTTTAGTCCTTGTACCAATTGCGGTTAAAATAACGTACCTGTACCAGGATATTGCCAGAATAGGTCCTTAGGAGAGTAGTGCTGTTGGCTGACATACTTAGATCAGGAGAGTCAAATGAGTTGTTGGTAAGGGTGCTGAAGGCTGTGCCACTCAGTTTATTACACCAACTGCCATTTGTTCTTCCCAGGGGATGACAAAGAGTAGTTCTTCCTTTCAATCTGTAATTTCAGATTCCAACAGAGACTGTTGACTTGTGTTATTGCCTTGTGTCTTAAGTTGTATGCTTTTTACTTTTTAAGCCGTGCTCCATTGTTGATGAACTTAGAATGATAGCTAATGTGCACTGCCCCTGAGCACAGCCTAAATGACTCCTCCCCCATCAAGACCATTGTTTGTTTGTAGGCACATTAAATATATACATATTTTAACCGTAATAATATTTTTAGGATTTTCAAGTTATCAGGTAAGTGACACTGACATTCATTAAATAAATTATTAATAATAATTATTATTAAATTAATCTGCTGCGTGATACTGCAGAAGAACTGATGACGGCACGGTTTGATCTTCGGCTGACCAATCAGCAGAAAGGGGCGTTTAATTCTCGCCCACATGTAGAAATCAAATATTCAAGCTGTTCATTAATTTTTCCACCCGTGAACGAAAAACAAAAATTTAAGCTGAATTCTTATTTTTCTACTTTCAATATTAAATAAAAAAAACTAATGATCGAATGATACACGGATTCATCTGGCATGTCCATTTATTCTCGACACAATCTCCGATGCCTCGGTTCAAATGTCACATCACTACTGCTTACATCTTACCTCAGCTCGCATTCAAGTCGCACGCAGCTCAGCGTCTGTGAACAGTAAAGCCGCCTTTCCACTGCACACGACATTCGGACACGACTGTCGGAATTCGCCCCCTAGTGGCAGTCGCACGAAAATTTTTATTATGATCGTACACGGCAGCATGGGAGAGAAGCTTATCCTCGCGGTCTCAGAAAACCCCATTCTGTATGATACTTCTTGTTTGGTCCATCCATCATTGGTGCAGAGGGATTGCGTTGTTGTTTTGCTCCTCCGCAGGAGATTGTGGAGGACACACGTCGCTTTCACACAGGCTTCGACATTTTGAGGGTGCTGACCCATGACTCTGTAGTACATTCTGAACCTAGATGCAAGAATGCCAAATGC